CAGAGGGAGACTCCATCTCAAAACAACAACAACAAAAAAAACAATTAACTCTCCAATCCCCCTCTCATTTCCTGGCAACCACCATTCTACTTTCTGTCTCTATAAATCTGGCTACTTTAGGTACTTCCTATGATGGAATCATATAGTATTTGTCCTTTGTGATTGGCTTATTTAGCATCATGTCCTCAAGGTGAAGGTAGAAACTTTTAAACCAGTTTTGTTTTTTATGTCAAAGGGGGCTTCTTTACCTACTTAAGTAACACTACATAGTGGCTATTTCCATCCCACTTCAAGTCCTGAAAAACAAAAATGTAAAAATCTTCCTCTATCCTCCAATATGGACCTAGCTTTCGGGTTTTGATGGTTTTTCATTTTCTTTTTCATGTTTAGTTGGCTGTCAATTGGAAATTGTTATTTCCCCCAACTTTGGGGGAAAAAAATGAAAACCCAGTTGAAGCACATTTTTTTCCAAATGTATTTGAAATGCTCTCTCTAGTTCTACGGTTCTGGATTGTGAGCAATCCTGAAATTCTAGAACATACTGGCATCATAACAAAAGGTGAGAATGACTGACAGCTGAATTACAGCGTGGGAGAATAAAATATTTAATATTACTTGTCATAAATTTAGAAAAACCAGTCTTCCTTCCATCCTTCCCTTCTCTCTGTCTCTCTCTGTCTGTCTGTCTCTCTCTCTCTCTCTCTCCTCTGTGGTCTTCTTTTTCTAATTAGCCATTTTATTTATTTCCTAGATGGTCAATGTTATATGGCTGCAGACATCATAGTGAATGACCTCAGGTGTTTCAATATCTATGTTTTCTTTGTGAGCCCCAATTTTGATCTGTTGATGCCTCATAAGCTGATCCCTTTTGGTTCAGTTCTGTTCAGTTCAGTAACCTTTTGTTTCCTTTGGAAGATACCAAATGGCTAAGATATAGCCTTCCCTTTAAGAGCTGGTCAAACTGTAGAGGGAGACACACACCCTCAGCTAACACTGGTGGAAGGCTCCCAGGAGGCCTGAGGAATGTCAGTAATAGAGGGTCAGGAGCTACAGGGCTTCTAAGGGGATGGGATCAGCAACTCTGAGAAGAAGATGAGTTTAAGCTGAATCTCTCTGTTCTCATCCCCAGCAATATGTCTTTATTTCTCATTGCTTTATTACGGTTTAATTATTATTATACTATCATATCTACAGTCTCTTAGAGTTAATTTTTAGTTAACAAAGATACAAGGATAGTAACATTTCATAACTTCCCATACTAAATGTCTTTTTTTCTTTTTTTTCCTTTTTTTTTTTTTGAGACAGAGTCTCGCTCTGTTGCCCAAGCTAGAGCATAGTGGCTCGATCTCCGCTCACTGCAACCTCCCCCACCCACATTCAAGCGATTCTCATCCCTCAGCTTCCTGAGGGCCTGGGATTACAGGCATGTAATATCATGCCCGGCTAATGTTTGTATTTTTAGTAGAGACAGGGTTTCACCATGTTGGCCAGGCTGGTCTCGAACTCCTGGCCTCAAGTGATCTGCCTGCCTCGGCCTCCCACAGTGCTGGGACTACAGGTGTGAGCCACCGTGCCCATCCCCATACTAAATGTTCTAACTCACTATTTAAATGTTGTTCTTTCTAAGTTCAGCCATTCTCCCATCTTCCATATCTTGCAGCAAATTTCTTGCTTGCAAGTACAATGGAACTTATTAGTAATGATGTGTAAGGCTTTAAAGTATAAACCAATCACATAATGTCAGGCTGTTTCTGTAGGAGGTTATGATATTTCAAGGGTCATAGTCTGTGCCTGGGCAAGTTTGAACCTCCAGAACTGCAGCCTGTGCTGTAATGTGGTGATGCTGTGGCTCCGGGCTCAGGAGCAGTGCTTCTGCTGAACAGGCTGCGGAGGGAATTCTGCAGTCCACACAGACAGATGGCAGGACTATTACTTTTGACCCTGGACTCCGCTTACTGCAAAGTGAGTTGGAAGATTTATTACTGATCTTTGTTAGACAATAACCCTGCTGAGTTCTAACTTCTTCAGAAGAAAATTGAAGGAAGGAAGAAAAGAGCATGTACCATATTCTTTTACTGCAAAAGAAGTATATATAATACTTCTAGCCACGCTACAGATAACATGAAAATTGAAAATAATTCTGGATAATCTCAGTTATGTGACAACATTACCTAATGCACTTAAAGGGATCATTCTCAACTATTTATCATACGCAAATACTGAAGAGTTGCAGAGTTAGATTATCTTATGATACACAGTCACGGTGATTTACTTTTTCTTTCTAGTATGCTGTCTCTCAGACCAGGACCTACAAGTGTTAAAAGCAAAGATTTCTGTACACCCATGTACACAGCAGCATAGTCACAAGAGCCAAAAGGTGGAAGCGACCCAGCTGTCCATCAACAGATGAGTGGATAAACCAATGTGGTCTATACATACAATGGAATAGTATTCAGCTTTAAAATTCTGACACATGCTACAACACGGATGAACCTTGAGGACATTATGCTAAGTGAAATAAACCAGTGACAAAAAAGACAAATATGACATGATTCCACCAAAGGAGGTACCTAAGGGAGTCCAACTTATAGAAACAGAAAGTAGAATGATGGCTGCCAGGGGCTAGGGAAAGAGGGGAACGGACAGTTCTGATTGAACAGGTATGGAGTTTCAGTTCCGCAGGATGAAAAGTGTTCTGGAGAAGGAAGGTGGTGATGGTTGCACAACAATGTGGATGTACTTAATGTCAACAGACTGTTTAAAAATGGTTAGGCCAGGCGCAGTGGTTCACGCCTGTCATCCCAGCACTTTGGGAGGCCGAGGTGGGCAGATCACTTGAGGTCAGGAGTTCAAGACCAGCTGGGTCAAAATGGTGAAACTCCATGTCTACTAAAAATACAAAAATTAGCTGGGTATTGTGGCACGCCCCTGTAATCCGAGCTACTCAGGAGGCTGAGGAACGAGACTCTCCTGAACCCAGAAGGCGGAGGTTGCAGTGAGCCAAGAGTGTACCACTGCACTCCAGATTGGGTGACGGAACGAGACTCTGTCTCAAAAAAAAAAAAAAAAAAAAAAAAAAAACTTTTTAAAAATGGTTAAGATGCTAAATTTTTATGTTATGTTATTTCACCACAATTAAAAATAATTTTAAGACCATTTAAAAAATAATTCTTAAAAAATAAGTTAATGACAAAAGTGTAAAAATCTGCGTAGGGTGCAGGGGTGGAGGAAGGCAATTGAGACAGAGTATTTTTTTTCCCTGAATTTCAGATCTGCTTTAGAAATGGACATCTCTGCTTCCATCATAGCTGAGAAAAGATGCCACACCCCTGCCACTTTCCTCTCTCTCTCTCTCTCTCTCTCTCTCTCTCTCTGAGTGGTTCTTAACCTCTCTTTAATTTGGGAACATAAAGCAGCAAGTTCCCCTTAGCCTCTTGAAATTTTCCCAATTCACAAACGATGCCAACTACTCCAGCCTGACAGCTGCCTCCCCGGACACGGTGAGCTAGCCCTCTTCTGTTACCGGCGCTTTGGTGAGACACAGGCCTCGTTTCCATGTGGGCCCACCCAATAGTTACTTCAGTATTCTTGAATTTCAGTAAAGAGAGCTGGGAGACAATAGTGAGAAATGACCTACTGTACAATAAAGAACCTCTGTTGGGAGCTGGGGCAAAGGCCAGGGTACTAAGGAAATGACTTCTTGCTCCTTCCAATATTGAAAGGATACTCCAGCAAATAAAAGGACTTTGCATAAAAGGAAGAGACAGGCAAGCCTGTGTTCAGCACTGATGGCACTAAGGGTTCTCATGAAGATTTCCTTCTCAGATTTATGCCACAGTTTACATATAACCCCAGTGTGTCCTGCATTTCATAAAAAATAGACTCTTGGCTATTTCAACAGGAGATCACACAATCAGCTTTAAGGGCCCCCCAGTGAATTAGTGGAGAGAAGGAGTTAACATGTTCCTGAGCCAGAAAGAGAAAAGAGGTCAATACTGTTGGCTCAAGAATTCAATAATGCATGGAGCTCCTACTCCATCCCAGGGCCCTGCCCATTCTCTTATCTAATCAGCTCCATCTCTGACCTGTTTTCTCTGCTCCTTTACGACATATTTTTAAATGATGAATTTCTGTTGTCTTTCTCTGTTTTGTTGTTGTGCTTTGTGTGTGGGGGGGGGCAGCATTCTTTCCTTTTATTTTTATTTATATTTATCTTTTCTAGCAGGTAGAGGTTTCTTCAAGTTTCTAAATTGACAGTGTTTACAAATGTAATTTTTGATGCAGTTTCTGTAATATATGGTGATCTGCAGCTCTGGGGTCATGCTTTCAGTTAACTTCCTGAAACTTAATAGCTTTATTTTTTCTCAAAGTAACACATTTAGTGTTAACTAGAAACATCCTTCCTATACAATCTCTCTGAAAACAGCTTTATGCTTTGTCTCTTTGGAAGCCTCTGTTCGCCACCAGCCATAATCTAGTTCAGAGATCTGAGGAATGAAGGCCATCTCGAAACACTTGTTATATACAAACTAGAGGAGAAAATAAGGGTAAAATCCTAAGGATGGACGTCAGCTGATGGTGTTATTTAACAAAAGGTAGTCTGCCCCAGTCAGCTCCAGTTCATTCCAGATAACCAATTTTAGAAACTCAGTTTTTGTTTCAACAGAGACTAACGATCCTGGACTTCAGCAGAATTCTCCAATAGGGGAACCTTCAGCAGATGTGCTAGAGATAGGGGCAGTGATCCCAAATAGCATGTTTTCTGCATGAGGTCATAATCCACCAGGGCGTCTGGGAGGATACAGCACGCACACTTCTTACACTTTCTCAATACTCAGTTCAAGCTCATCGTAAAGACTCTGCCTATCATTTCCAAGGCACATTTGCTTCTATTATCTCATTTCTTAGGGATGTCTAGCAATTGTTTCAAATGTACACACATCCCAAAACACAAAACAATGCAGTATGTGGAGGATTAGCCCTCCACCTTGCATTCTTACCTCTTCTCGAGCTTCTCTGAAGGATGAATTTGAAGTTCTTCCTCTCCTAGGAAGGGAAGACTTGGTGGTGTCTTCCTGCTGCCCAAAGAGCTCCTCAATGGTCTTTGTATCAATTTGGTAGTGATGCTCCTGCCTGGCTGCCAAGGTCCAGATGTTGGTTTTGCCCCGAACTTGCTCCTCCGGAATAGTTTTCCAAAAAAAGCTTCTCATCCGCTTTTTCTTACCAAGGTGGCTGTAGCCGTTCATATGAGTAGTTGGGGGTGGGCCTGGTGGGGGAGGTGGGATGGGAGGCTCCCCAGGAAGTGGAGGTGGTGGGGGTGGAGGAGGGGAGGAAGGACACTCTTCCCTTGAACATGAACATGGTGGAGATGGAGGGGGTGGAGGAGGAGGTGGAGGAGGTACTGGAGGCGGTGTCTGCCCAATCATGAATCCAGGTGCTGTGGCAATATTCCCATTTTCTTTATCACTGGCCAAGGAGACACAATTCATAACATGCATAGTACTGTCGCCTCCTATGGAGATAATTTCTTGGCCTTGGAGAAGACGACACAAACATCAAACCTGTGTAGCACTTTTTCACCTGCTATCTGCCGCCAGAATAAAGGGCAACTGTCCTCTTCCAAACCTACCAAGATAAAACGAATATAAAATTAGTTACAGACAAACAGTTTCACATCAGCATCTCCCTTCAGAGGCTAGATCAATCCTCTCATATGAGTTAGATATGAAAATCAATGAGGGGCAACACATCCCAAGTTGCATTACAAGGAACCGATGCTTTTCTAAATGTGAATCAAATTTTACTACCTGGAAATTCTGCCAAAAATATTGCAACAAATCCAATTGGAAACCTTACATTAATCAACAAAGCACATACATATTGAGAGCCTGCTATAGGCTCAGCAAGTATTGCTCACTTTATGAATAAACTACTTGTTTACTAACTAGTTTGTTCTCTTTGGACAATGGTTGCCCAACCCCTAGGGAAACTGCCCAAATTGCTGAAGCATTAGGCATTAGTGACCCTACCTTTTTCCAGTCTGGACATGTCTCCTACCAATCATGGGTCAAAAAAGGCATCTTGCACCTTGGACGGATAAGGCAGGGCATTTGGAGATAATATAATAATGGCCTAGCTCATTTCCCTGGAATCAGGGCCACCATATTTCTGCTCTACCTGGTGATGTGGCTTTCCCCCAGATAGAGAAAAGAACAGCAGATATGAAAAATGAGATTCCAGCCCTAAATCAAGCTTTACTGCTTACAGTTTTAGCCAAGTCACTTCGCCTCACTAGACTTCCATTTTCTCATTTGTAAAATTAGGAGAACACATTAAATGACCTCTATCATCTTGGATTCTAGTTAAGCCACTCTTTGGAAACCATCACCTACCTCTTCTGCTTCTGACACTTTTAGCAAAGAAGAGATATGCCCAAGGACATGCTGCCCATGTCACATCTACCCCATGTCTCTTATACACAGTCACCAACTTACTTTAGTGGGTTGCATTTTTATGGAATTTCAAATGTTTGTTTTTGATGCTGGGCTGTTACCGATCTGATGTGAGAGGTCAAAACAACTAAATTTCTTCAGATATGAGAACAGGTAAGTGGGAGTGCAGAAAAGGCCCCATGCAGGCTATTGAGTGAGCACCCCAACTAGGTGGGAGTGTGGAAAGGGGACTATTTCCTGCAGATCACAAAGGGCCATACACAATGGCTTTTTACACTGCACTTCGGGACGTAATTATCTTTTTACAGCACCACTGTCAAGCCCATACTTACAAACATAACTTAATCAAATAATTTTGGACTACACAGAAGTAAACAATCTGATCTCACAGATTCAAATATTACAAAATGATTTACATAGAACCATATCCAAAAGACAGGGCTGCCTTGGGAATAAGAGTGGAGATTCTAGGAATAGACTGCTTTTTCTCAGAAAGTTCTGCTGCTTTCAAGATGTGCAACGTGAGATGAGGTCAGTAACGTCACCTACATTTCAGCATCTCATCTACAATATGAGGAAATACTTGTTCCATTGGTTTGTATAAAAATAAAGAGCTAACACATGTATGGTCCTTACCAAGATGCCTGGTACACAGTTAGCTATTATTTATAACAATAACAAGCTGTTCTCATATGTGCATATTACTTCCCTTTATTTTCACAGGTATTACATTTGCTTTAACATATGTATTGGGTTTATAGATAAAATGCCAAGTTACCCCTGGCTGCTAGGAACAAACCTGTAATATTTCCATTCTTTGCTATCGAAGTTTGTGAGATCTGTCCTTTCTCAATTCTTGCTGATCATCTATTAAATTGTCTCCATATTTCAAAAGCAAATATTTTAATGAAACATTTGAATATTGGAGTTCTGAAAACTGCCTCTATATGGGAGGAAAACGGCATTTCCAGCTATTAATTGGATACTCTAAAAAATCATTTTAACCATTTTTAAGTGTGCAATTTAGTGGCATTAAGTACATTCACAGTGTTGCACAGCCATCACCACTGAATAGTTTTTAAATAAGTAAAATAGAAAATATTTTTTCAAGCTGACATACAGCTCACTTGAGATGCAACTGGCTTCTAGAAGGAGTTTTCATAATTATCATTAGGGGCATAACTAGGCTGTTTTCATAGTTGGCACCCTTAAAGCAAATGACTCATTGTCAATTACAGTTTATAGTTATATTTGAACTCTTCTTTTTCAAGACTGTGCAGGTAATTTTGGCAGTTTATCCTTACATATTTAAAAATACTTCGGTACATAAAACATCTCATGTATAGAAGAGTGGTTAATCCTCCAATTTACCTCCAATTCCAGATATGCTGACTTATTTATAGATTATCCCTCTTAAGAATGGTGATAAGCTCAAAAAGTCTCCAATCTAGAAAGCAATAACTCATTCAGTGCTGCCTATGTACAGATGTGCCACTAAACCTCACAATGCAAATACAGAGATATTGACAAAGACTAAGGAAGACTATATACTCCAAGGTTAAGCAACCTCACTGTTTCCTAACAACAAAGCCAGAAAGGTGCACGTTTTAGTACTGTGCTTTGCACAGAGGAAGTGTCAGATAAACAATTGTCAAAGTAAAAAGTGACACTTGTTAGCTCTGTATTGGGATGATTCTAACTAATGCCCCATGTAAAAGAATGTTATTTTTAAGTTAAAGGAAACAAAAGAAAATGTACAACACTGTCCCTGGTATGCTGTCTGATTAATTTTTTCCCAGGGTAACACACAAGGATCCTAGCCCCGCAACAGCAACAGCTTCTAATGAATAGGTTCGCCAGCAATGATTAGCCAAGACGCTAATGCTTTTACTACCCTTACTCCAATAGGGTTTCCCCCTGGGCCAGGATGTCCAATGTGAAAGAGGTGGCAGGAAAAGCAGAGTACAGACAGAATTCTAACCCTTTCCACAGCCACATGGAAATTAAAATAGAGAATATACAAAAGAATGCTGGATTTGCTGCAGTACTGCCCACAGTAGAGATGCAAACACACACTCTCCAGGTACACTAGGAGAACGCAGGTGATGCCGCAGCCCTAACAGACCACACTGACTGCCTGTTTCTCACAGCTGACAATTGCCAGTAGGGACAATGGGATTAGCCCCCACTCTGTCTGGAAAATGCTAAGTAGTCCCATCAATCTGCCCCTGGGGAAGACAGAGACAGGCCTGTATGTAAGATCTCAGCTACAGGTTGGAGTCCTCAGCAACAGGATGAGGATAGCTGCTAAGGCTGACAAGTGCCCAGCTCTGAGTAAAATGCAGAGCTGTCATGGCTGGGTTCTGAAGATGGGAATGTCTCTTCAAGTCCCCTAAGTGCTACTCATGACCCATCAGAGTTGTGTTTGAGTGATGGACTCTCCCAAAGAGGCTGTAGCTCAGTTGAGCATCTTTTAAGTACGTGAAATTTCAATAAAGCAATGCTGTGATCATGTACTTAACTTCTAGTTAATTGGCAGGCAAAAAATCTTAGAACGTTCATTAAGGGTCTTCAAAGCTGCCCCCGGCCCCCTCCTAAGCTCTCTTGCCTAAACAGCCCGCTGTACTTTTTCCTTGGTGTCAGAAACATCCCTAGAAGTTCTAGTCTCGGCCGGGCGTGGTGGTTCACGTCTGTAATCCCAGCACTTTGGGAGACCGAGGTGGGCAAATCAGGAGATGAGGAGATCAAGACCATCCTGTCCAACATGATGAAACCCGTCTCTACAAAACACACACACACACACACACACACACACACACACACATATACACACACAGTAGCTGGGCGTGGTGGCGCGCGCCTGTAGTCCCAGCTACTTGGGAGGCTGAGGCAGGACAATCGCTTGAATAAGGGTGTCGGAGGTTGCAGTGAGTCGAGATCGCGCCACAGCACTCCAGAGCCGGACTCCGTCTCAACAGCAAAACAACAATAACCAAAAAAAGAAGTTCACAGCACTCCAGAGCCAGACTCGTCTCAACAACAAAACAACAATAACCAAAAAAAGAAGTTCTAGTCTCTTGAAAGGAGTCAAGAAAAAAGAGTATGTAGGTTTCATCTCACAGTGTATTTAAGGGGACAGCATGTTCCCGGATGTCAGTTTGGAGCTCAGGACTTTCTTGGACGAGGACCAGTGGGGTCTTGGTGCTCAGCTGGTCACTCACTCCTTTGGTCAACAATAATCAAAAGAAACATCAAGGAAAACCTGCCAGAAACCTTTCCCCTTGACTCCTGGCATGTGCCATAGATGAGGCGGGGGCAGGAAGGGCTGGCCCACATGCTTCTGATGACAAACCGGGGCAGAGCAAGCCGAGTTTGAAGAGCAGAGGTAGAGAAACACACAGCCCTATTTTACTGCATTTGGGAGAGAAGAAAAGGATGGGGAAAGCATGGACAATTCTAAACTGGAATTCTTACTCTCACTGCACTAATTCGGGAAAAGGCTCCTCCACCACCACTTATCTTTCAAAACTTTTCTTGATTATTAAACACAGAATGTCAGTCGGTACGACTATACAGTAGGGCCAGAGCCGGACCGTCCAACTCTTCTGTGAGTTCCGTCGTCTGTGTTCCATCTGCCTGTACTCCAGGCAGCAGTGAAAGAACCCAGGACAACGCGTTCCCAGTCAGCGCCTTCAATCTGCAGCACAATGTAAACATTCACAGACGTCCGAGACCAACACCGGAGAGCGGAGGAAGAATGCCTGTATTTGACTGTACATTTTCAGTTTCTCTTACTGTCCCAAAACCAAGAAAAAAAAAAAAAAGTACATGCGTGCCAAAGGATGCTCTAGAGAGAGGGAAGGAAGCGCTGGCTGCTCCTTCCAGGAAGACAACTGTGGGTCAGTAGAAGGGGGTCACAGACGGCCGAACCCCGGAGATCCTTTCTGTCCACACAAGAAGTTTGAAAACCGACCATTAAGTCCGGAGGAAATTCGGACTGGGGGGTCCTGGGTCACCACTTCTTTCAAGTTTGGATACATAGTAGTTTACTAGGTCTCCGCATTAGCCAGCGGTCCGCAGCCTCCTTCCATCCCCAACCCAGAACCCCTGTCCCCGCCCGAGCCACTCACCAACAAGCCACCAGCTGGACCGCGAAACCCAGGGAATTCGCACTGGGGGCAGCAAACTGAACCCGAGTGGGCGGCCCTGCGGGCCGCGCGGAGCCCCAGCCGGGTCCTTATCAGCGCCGGGCAGGAGCTCGTCGCGGCACGAGGGTGGGGCGCCGGTGCGCGCGGAGATCGACGCCCACACGCGCCGCGCCGGCTCTGCGGCGGGGAGAGAGGCCGCGGCCTGCAGGGCGGAGACTGCAGGGTGGGCGCCCAGCGCCGGCGGTGCACGACCCTCGGCCTTCCGCAGCGCCGACCGCTCTTCCGTCCGGCGGCTGGAGCAACTCGTCGGCCGCCGGACCGGCTCGCCCATTCCCGGCCCCCCCAACGTCGCGAGGGGGTCTGGGCCCCGCCCCCACCCCCTGAGGGGCCCCAGCTGGAGAGCCCACGCCCCCCACGCCACGCCCCCCGGGGCGCCAGCCCCTCTGCGGGGGCTTAGCACGCTGCGCCCAGAAGTGGGGTGGGAGACGGCTAAGGGAGATGTCCATGTAATTGAAACGAAAGTGGGGTGTCTTGCGGCTCGCAGACACCCGGTCTGCGGCGGCCGCGCGCTCCCACCCCACCCCGAGCCTCCGCCGCGACATCTTCCCACGTCCCCCGTCCGGGTCGCAGGCGGGGGGGAAAAGCCTCACGGTCGCACTGCGGCTCTGCCAAAAGGGAGCCGGGACGAGCCGGTGAGAGAAACACGGGGGAGACTCCTGGCGTTTGAAACCGGTCAGAACCCGCTCTCCAAGACCTGGGGACACCCCTTGTCTGGAGGCTGATCCCCAGCCCACCCGCTTCCTCCCCCTCCCCACACTCCTGCAGGCGCTGGGCGCAACTTGTAACCCGAACTTCGCGCAGCCGGAGCAAGTGTGTCGGGGCGAGAAGCGCCTAGTCCTCGGTCCGCACCACCGCACTGGGTCCCCGCCACCGCCACACCACTATCTCAGGGGCCAGGCGTGGCCCCCGGCTGGCTAGGGAGCCGAGCGCGGCGCCGCGGCTGCGCATTCTGTGCGGGATGCCGCTGTCTCCCACGGGCGGGGATAAACTAGGGGGCGGTTGATCTGAAATTCTTAGCCACGGCTAATAGTCAACCACCCAAGTGCGACCCGAGGCAGCCCGGCAATGCAGCTCGTTCTCCAGACGCGGGTCCACACCGGCGCGTCCTCGCCTCCAGGGACCGATCGCAGTCCTCCAAGGCCGGGTAAGGGCGACCGCCTAAGTTACCCGGGTGGATGTGGAGGGAGCTGGAACCTCCTTTCCAGTTTTCCCGGTGAGGCTCGGAGGAAGCCGAGACCCGGCACCCATCGGCCGCGCTTCTCGGCGCCTCAGCCTCGGGTCCCGGCCAACACCCCGACCCCGACCCTCCCGAGCTGTGGGGCTCCAGCTCCCCGTGTCCCGCGCCGCGGTCGCCCCAGCCTCGGCTGCCCGACCCGCACTCACCCGCGGCCAGCGCCCCCCGCTCCCGGCGCGCAGACCGCTGCAGCCTCCCGCCGCTGTGTCGACGCAGCGGTCTCCTCCCGGTCACTGCAGGCCCCGCAGCCCCGGAGCGCGAGGGGGCAGGGCGGGGCGGGGCGCTGCGGCGGCCTCAGGTAACAAAGCTGCGGCCCCGCTGCTCCTGGCCCGTCGCGAAGGGCAGCGCGCCCTTTCCTGCTCCGCCCCTCCCTCGCCCCCCCTTCCACCCTCCGCGCGCCACCGTCACCGCCACGCGCTCACCTTCACCTGCGTGGGGCCCCGGGGGAGACGCTTCGGGGCACACTGCTCCCCGCACCCGAAGGCTGGCGCGGGGCTAGGCCCGGGGCCACCGAGAAATGTAGGGGCGGCAGGAGATGGAGATAGCTGGGCTGCCCAGAAGGGCCAGGTGTCCTCGGGAACGGGCAAGAGGAGGCGCCAAGCTGGCTTCTGAACCGGCAAGTGCCTTTTACAAAGGAGCCTTTGCGGCAGCCTCCCGGGAACCCTCTCTTGTGCACACGGGCGCGCACACACTCTTATATACACGCGCGCGCGCACACACACACACACACACACACCCGCACACGCCCCCCGACGCACGCGCCAGACCACCCTCTGCCCCAACACTTTCTTCTCCCTGGAAACCTAGTAGCACTTGGGCGAACTGTCCTGTCCCAGCCCCTGCAGCTGAAACCTGGCTGGGCCAGAGCTTCCCAAAGGTCAGCTCCTCCCTGGGGCCTGCCAATCTGTAAGTTTGTTACCGTTTTTATTTTGTTTTTGTTTTTAATTCTCTATAATGATAACAGGAACCTTTAGGTTGTATTAAAGCGTAAAAAGACCCCTCAAAAATTTTTGCCAGGCCTGATCGAATGAACGCACGCTGTCTGGGAAACGCACACTCCTCACAGAAAAAAACAGGGGAATCGATTTCATCACTTTTGTTTTTCTCTTTTTTTCCTTCAAAGTGACTTGGGCCGCCAAGCAGTGAGAAGCAAGTAGTCAAAGAAAACATCCCGGGCAAACCGGCTGACCGAAAATCCACTGCCGGGGTAGGGAGGCGCCCTCTACGGGGATGAAGTCATCGCTACCTTTGACTCTTTGATTCTAGATAATCGACCAAGACTTTTCCAGCCTCATGCCTGACGCCTTTCGCTTCCTCCACCCTGGTCCTCAGTCCCTGAACTTCCAGGACAGAATTCCTGGCCTCCATATGCAAGCCTTGGATCGAGAAAGAGAAACTATTAGTGTAAACAAACCCATCAACAAAAACCAGAACTGTGCCTGCCAATAGCCCATTTCTTGGCCATTGATCCGAGCATGAAGAGAAATGGATCCAACTAAGAGAACCTTAAAATCTTAAGGAATAAGAAAATGTAATAAAGAGAAAGACAATGTCATGCTCAGGGAGCTAATATTAATCCCAAAGGAATATTGACTGTTCAGGCTCAAGTTAAATTACAGCAGATCGAAAGTGAGGAGTGGAGTGGCATCTTCTTTTCTTTTACTGTCGACTTTGTTAAATGGGGACTCCACACTCCCTGCCTACTCTTCCCTCCTCAACCCCATGACAGTGGCATCCCCGCAACTGTATTGAGCATGCGCTCTAAAAACAGTTACTTTTTGAGAAGTCAAGTCTGGTGACCCATCCTCAGCTCCTCGTCCCTTTGATCTCCTTGGCAGCATCCTACCCTAAGGCCTTCTCTATGCTTCTCTGGCCTTCTCTGCTGACCCTTCTCTTCCTTTGAGGAGAGTAACAAGGTTCTTCCAACTCTTGATCTCCCATTATCCCATAAAAATACCTTCTGATTTCAAATTGAACCCATCCAGATGTCGTGGGGCCTGAAGCTTGTATAACTCCTCCGGGAGCTTCTTAAAGGAAAGCAACAAAAACTTACAAATGTAATACTAGACATGTATCCTTGGAAGGGCCCAGGGAAAATGAGGGGCTTGGGAACTTGAGCTTCAAGGTACATCTCCGGGTTTCTCTTCAATGTCAGGGGCTCTTGAATCCATATGGTCGTTGTAAAATTTCAAGTCCAAATTCAAATATCCAAAAGTCAACTCATCTTTCCCTCAAAACTAGTACTCTTCCCGCACCCATCACCTCCCCCTCTTTACCTAAGACCTGGTTTTTCTGTTTGAAATCCTAGCTTTTCCTTTGCTTCATTTTCTCTCTTAAATTCTTTAAAATTCAAGTATTTGCTAAATTTGCTGCTCTTTCCCAAGTAACCTGTCTTATTTTTTACATGCACCATCACCGCAGTAACCCTAAGTAGTGGAAGAGGGAACCAGTATTTATCTGCTGTTGGCCACATATCAGGCACCACACTTGATTCTCACCATGATCCTATAAGCATTCGGATTTGCCGGCTTAGAGAGGTTAAATTGGATACCTACATCTACTGCCTTGGTGTTCTTTCTGCTTCTCTCTTCTTCGTAAATCCATCCCAAAACTGCTGTCAGTTCACTGTTTTTAAAAGTCTGATTTCATCACATTACCTACCTCTTCAAAACCTTCTGCAGATTCCCATGTGTTCCTCCAGGAAGAAGGCAGCATTCTTCAGTCTGACAATCTGGCAGCATCCTACGTTTATCTTCCACAATTGGATGCGTCCCATTTCACTCAAGCAGTGGGGTGTACTGCCCCTGAATATGTCATGCTTATTTTGACTTTTTGTTTTGTTTTGTTTTTGAGACGGAGTCTCACTCTGTTGCCAGGCTGGAGTGCAGTGGAGCGATCTGAGCTCACTGCAATTTCCACCTCCCGGGTTCAAGTGATTCTCCTGCCTCAGCCTCCCAAGTAGCTGGAATTACAAGTGTGCACCACCACACCCGGCTAATTTTTGTATTTTTAGTAGAGATGGGGTTTCACCATGTTGGCCAGAATGATCTCGATCTCCTGACCTTGTGATCCACCCACTTCAGCCTCCCAAAGTGCTGGGATTAATATACGTAAGCCACCGTGCCTGGCCTATTTTGACTCTTATTTTTCAAATTGTACATAGGACATGGTCAAAAAGTGCTTCAGTGAAGCATGGCACAACTCTTAAATAGAGTTCTTATCTTGATGGATTGGATCTAAAGCTGCAAGCCTAGAAGACAATTTATTCTTCGTCTACTAATATACTGATTGTCCATCTGTATCCCCAAAATGTGCCAACCAGCCTTTGAGTAAGGCTGGAAAGGCTCCCGGAGCCCAGTGTGCCCAAAGTCTGCCCAGCCACTGGCATTCGTGGCTTGGAGGTGGCACTGCTGCAACTGCAGGGCTCTTGAGCAGTGGACAGTGTGACCAGCTCTCAGTTTTCCAATGAGGCCAGACCTCCCAGAAAGTGTGTTAGATAACTCAGTGTGGCCCAGAAAATGGGTCTGTACCAGGCACTGGTACCAGGCCCTGCAGAAGAACTGCTGTGTTTTCCTGATTCCATTTGCAGCTTGCTCTTCGCTCTCCCTGGGTTGCCCTTTCTGGAATGCTGTATTTCCTACACCCAGTTTATTTTGATTCTTATGGTTTCTGCCTCCTTGGCCCAGAGGCTTTTAGTTTCTCCTACATCACGTATTTTGTATTTCAATCTGTCATTAGGAACAACTAAACAAAGCCTTCAAAATGAATCAAATTTCAGAATCCATGTAAAACAGACTTTTAGTCTTTGCTTAAGGAGTAAGCCTACATGAGCTGACTTCATGGGCCCTCTAGGATACAGACTGAGATCTTTACTTAATCTTTAATCATTATTTTTCTTAAAATATATATTTGATTAGATCAGTTGTTCAGTATTAAGATTCTTGGCTGTTTTTGCCTTTTAAAATTGGAAACTGCAGAAACAAACAAACTCTGTCCACATTATAGTTAAATAGATTTGCAGACAAATGCAAAGGCTTGCCAACCCTCTGACCTTGCTTCCCTCAAAGGGTGGCAAGTGTAAAATAAAATCACCAGAATTGTTACTGTTACCATAAAATGCAAATTTGTATCAAATACCTTATTGGCAATTTTCCAAATAACTTTTTTTTTTGAGATAATAGTCTCACTCTGTTGCCCAGGCTAGAGTACAGTGACACAAACATCCTCCCACCTCATCTCCCAAAGTGTCATGGTTACAGGCATGAGCCACTGTGTCTGGCCCCAAACAACTTTTGAACTGAAAAAATAATACTTTATTTCTGATTTTTAAATTCATTTTTTATTTTTTTAATAGAGACAGGGTCTCACAATGTTGCCCAGGCTATTCTGTAACTTCTGGCCTCAAGCAATCCTCCTGCCTTGGCCTCCCAAAGTGCTGGGATTTTAGATGTGAGCCACCACTCAGCCAATACTTCATTTTTGAAGGCTAACAAATTTAAATGGAAAGTTGCTTTTAAATACTGTAAGTTATGACTAGGCTCTGATCATTAAGAAGGAGAAGAGGGAGAAAGGGAGAAATATTTTTCTGAATGCTAAGTAGTGATTTTTGAAGGTTTCTTTTTTTTTTTTTTTTTTTGAGACAGGGTCTTGCTCCATCACCCAGGCTGGAGTACAGTGGCGTGGTTACTGCTCACTGCAGCCTCAACCTCCTGGGCTCAACTGATCCTCCCACTTCAGCCTCCCAAGTAGGTGGGACTATAGCCACGTGCCACCATGCCCAGCTAACTTTTGTATTTTTTGTAAAGACAAGGTTGAAAATTTAAAATAGAAAATGCTTCCACATGTGATGTTAGTATCTAATGTAGCATCAATGACATTTGCCTTGCCAGAAGTAAATAAGGGTATTTTGTCAACAGTAGTGCCTGATTTGTTCGAAAGTAGGAGAGATTAAAGACAACCTTTACCCAACATACAGGAATGAGGTAGTAAGATAATGTGATGACTCTCATGCCTGCCTATCTATATTGTATTTCCTTAGAGCAAATTGTCCCTTTGTTTTTCGTGTGTGTGTGTGTGTGTGTGTATGTGTATGTGTGTGTGTGTTTTGGAGGCTGGAGATGGAAGAGGAGACTAAGGAAAAAAAACTGTAGACATCACCGAGCTTTTACCCAGAAAACCTCCAGCTAGAGCTCTTTTTAGTTTATAGTTGATTTGGTGCTTAGAAAACTGCTTGCTGTTTGTGTAGGGTCTGGCTGTTATAACATTCAAACCTGGAGGAGAGAAATAGCTGTAAAATATAACATCAAAACCTTTCATTTCTTTCCATTATTTATCACCAGAAAAAAGTATGTGAGTCTTAATAAGAGGAATTAAGTTAAAGAATTTGTCAGATGCCAGTTTCTTTTGCTATGGGTTCAAACTATTTTCAAATTGTTTACCCTACTAAGAAGTTAGAAGAGCAAACAGTAATTTGAAACCATAACACACACAGTTTAAGCAGTCTCCAAACAAACCCAATGAATCAACAATATTGGAGAGTGTGAGTGTGTGTGTGTGTGTGTGTGTGTGTGTTTCCCTGGGGAAGTGCTATGTGCACATCCCACGTAAGTCTTTGTAGGACATAGAAAGATGGGCAAAGGGACATGTTGGTGACTTAACAATTGGTAAAGCCCTTTCTGTTCCCCTTGGAAATCCAGTGTGTGCTTAGTTTAGTGAACTAGCTCTGGACAGTTCTTTGCACTAAGCTTCTATAATAAGAAGGTAAATACTTTGGGTATGGTAGCAAATAATAAACCAGTCCACAACAATCAGAATCTTAATATTTCTCAAGCAGATTTATAGAAATAATTAAAATGGACCATTAAAAAGCAAAGGGGGCAAGCTTTTTGTTGGAAATACCATTATTCAAGTTTTGACTGGCCTTGGACACAAAGAGGATCCCTGTCAAACACTTAGCATCATAATCAGTTTACATCTACATCTCTTTGTGGGCCTGACCTGGCTAAAATTGAAGGGGGGTCTTTTGGGGTTAAATCTAGGACTCCTTTCATCTTAACTCCTAACTTGCTGGCCTCCTACTGAAAAACAAGGATCTGGCAATTAACTCAGAAGGGTTGGTATTAAATATTCAACCTTTTTTCTAGTGTTTTTGTGCCTTTGATCAACTTTTGTATGTTAGATATTAAATTGTAAATTAGATAGTAAAAAAGAAGAAAAATTATCTGTACATTACAATGTGTCCAATTGGTGGTGATTTCTCAAAACTATGCCAGAATAAGTTTACACTTAATCTGTCTTGAAATGTTGCTGATTTTCCAAGTAATACCCTAGGCTTCCTACCCCACCACTGTGCGGAAGGCACAGGTGAACAAGTTTCTGCATTTTGGGGTTTTGAATTGTGCCCTGCTTCCTGTGGGGTGATTGATGGGCAGTGTCACTGCAGGCGTCTGTTTCACACGGTTGGGGGCAGGGAGGGAGTGCAGGGCAAGCACACAGCTAAGCACAGGACAGTTTACACTGTCAAATGGAATTGTTTTCATGCTGGAAATGGCTTCACAAAAACAAGATACAATTTTTCTTTTCTGGAGAATTGAAAATGTTAAAGGACCATGGAAAAGGGAGAGTAGAGAAAATACTAGATGTCCACACATCTTCATGTCTCCCTCCATGCTTCCCATGACAGATTCGAACATATTTTCTAGCTTCACATTCCCTTCTTTACGGCATGCCTTCTTCACAGTTTATCTTATTTGATAAGGAGATTAATATCCAAGGGTGGCTACTTGCCTGCAGAGCATAATCAGGTTAAACATTGTCTATGGCAAGGGAAGAAGGCAGAGAAATTAATCCTACCCCAGCAGCTCCATTGCACAGGAACTCATAAAAAGAGGGTCTCTGGTGATCCCCCTACTCATGTACAGAGTCTACAGAAGTCCCTTGATGGTACGAAAGGATAATAAATCTCGGGACCCCAATTTCACTAAGCCAAAGAGAAAAGCAAACCTGCCTCGCATTCTGTTTCTAAATGAGATAGCTACAAAAATTAAAAAGTGACATATCTCCCTCACAGTTTGCACACAAGGAAATTCCTTGTGGACAAAGGACAGACAGAACTCAAAGTCATCCCTCTGTTCACGTGAGACAAATGTGTATCTGTGCTTCCTTTGCCTTTTTGTTTCACTAAGCCAGACTAAGGTATAAGTGACTATTCCTGTACGCCCCCTCACATGTAAGTTGTGTATTCAGTAAAAAGTTAATCAGAGACTCAAAAGAATGCAACCATTTCTCTCTTATCTACCTATGACCTAGAAGCCCCTCCGTGCTTCTCGTTGTTCCAGTTTTCTGGACTGAGTCAATGTACATCTTACATATATATTTATTGATGTCTCATGTCTCCCTAAAATGTATAAAACCAAGCTGTGCCCTGACCACCCTAGGCACATGTCATGTCATCATGACCTCTTGAGGCTATGTCACTGGTGTGTCCTTAACCTTGGCAAAATAAACTTTTTTTTTCTTCTAAACTTTAGAATCTTAAACTAAATCCTTTATTTCAAAAACCAACATAAAATGATTTCCCAGGCAGAGAAAAGGTTTGAGATGGAAGCATTCTTGTTAGCACTCCCTTCCTGCATAAATGGGGTTGGATAGAGAGGGGAGAGGGAATGACCAAGGGTACGGGAAGCTTTCACAATGCATGCCGAGTGTGAAGTGACACCCCTGGCAGATGAGGTTTATCATCTTTACTTAGTCACACAACATCAAGGACTGGTTAGTTCCAGGGAAGGGCTCCATTTCATCACCTGGGTCAGTTCTCTTCCCCCGCATGCTCCACAATGCAGTAGAACCAAACAACACATTTATCTACAATAGAATGTTTAAATAACACCTGTCCAATAACTGCCCTTACTTTTTTGTGCTGTTGGGGAAAAGAAAAAACCAGAAAGCAATAAATCCCAAACCCTTTGGCAAGTCGGCCAGTGCCTATTCTCCTAGGGCACTTTTAGTGGAACTTTGGCAGGGCCTTGCCCTCCTCCCAGTATCATTGAGGAAAGTGGCAGCAGGACAGGTTTAGTCATCTACACTGGAGTAGAAAGAGAAACCAAACATGATTTGGGCCACAGGTGGATTCTGGCAAATTTTTGGATTGGTTAAAAATGTCATGTTGTGCACAGGATGCAGGAAAAGGAGGTTTTTTTTTTCTGTAGGCAGCATGAACGGTCTGATCTACCCTTGGGGAGGAGCTCCCTGTGTAAGGACAGAGAAACTAGGGGGCCTCGAAGAAGGTGTTGGTTCAGAAGACGGAGGAGACAATCGTTCCGGTGGCATTGATGGTGCCTTCGCTGTCTGAGCTGGACTCAGAGTCACTGCTCCCAGAGTAAGCACCCAGGCCTGGGAGGATGCCGATACAGACTGCAGCAGAGGGGCAGTGGATGGAGGGGCCACTCAGGAAAGTGTTTCCAAGAGACTTGCAGGATGAGGACTCCTGATTCTCGTCATCTGGCTCAGGGTCCGGTTTCAATCTTTTCACACTGTTGCCACTCTCTGAGCTCTTATGCTTCACAGCTCCTGCCAAAAGCTTCGCCTGGGAGAACTTGTTCTTGGTTTCTATGGGCTTCACAGTCAGTTTCTTTTCCACTTCCTTCTTGTTCTCTTGAGAAATTCCAACCTTCTTGAGGTTATTTCTGTATTTCCTCAGTTCTTTCTGTTCTTCTTCTCTTTGTTGCTTTTCTATTAGTTGCTGCTATCGAGGAACCCCATCAAGGAAGTTGGTCTCATCTTCATCTAAGCCTCTTACCATGTTTTTTAATTTGAACTGTTCCTCATACTCCTGCTGCTTCCTGTCCTCCTGTTCCTGTAGCCTTTCATATAGAGATCAAGAGTCACAAACCTCCTCTGGACATTCTTCCGGATCTTCAGGTTTTCGAACTTTCTCCCATTCTTCTTGCCTCCTTTTGTGTCGTTCATCTCGTTCTGCCTCAGACACGAACCTCTTTTTGATAATAAGGTTACCATCATCCCCTCCATCCATAATGAAACAACCAATCGCCACTATAGAGTCCCGGCCAAATAAACTTTCTAAGTTGACTGAGACCTGTCTCAGATATTTTGGGTTCACAATTGACAACCACAAAGGGATTCTGAGTGGAGGTTCCCCTGACCTTTGACAAATTTCTTATTGGTGCTTGGTATCAGCTTGAGCTATCTTTATGACTCAAACCAATAAGATACTTGGCTGAGGCCTGGGAACCTCCCGTTTAGAGAATCCCTGATCTCCCCAAATTTGGTCAAGATCTAAAGTTTACTTGGCTGTACAACCCCTCTTCTGGAGTTTCACTTGCTTCCAACAAGGAGGGCAAGTTTTCCTACTTCCATGACAATGGAAGGCAGGTAACTCTTTTGTGGAGTCTGAGCTGACTTCAAAACAATTTGAGATTTTTCCTGCTTCTAGGATGGTAGAGAGCAGTCTTCAGCCTGAGACCCATTCTTAGGTAAGTAGCTGAATCAGGGTTCTGTCTTAGCTAAAGTTAAGATTCACAACCAGCTGGTCTTAATTTCTCCTTACCATTAGAGTACTCAGTAATCATATAAATTGTGCAACTGTTTGATTTGCTTAGCTGGTTTTGTTCTTGTTGCTTGTTTGTTTTTATTTTTATTTTATTTTATTTTTTCCCATTGGGTTTGACCAACTCTATCGGCCTTGAGGAAATCCAAAGGAAAGTCCAAATTGTGGGGAACAAGGCCTCTGAATTGGCTAAATTCCCACAACTGAAAAAGAAAAAAAGAGAAAAAGAAAAAAACAGGCAGCAAAAGGAAAAAAAGGGAAAGATTTTTTGTTTAGATTACCTAAAGGGCTTTAGTTATATAACAAGGCCACTTTTTTTTTTTTTTTTTTCACTAGCCAAGCCAAACTAAAAGAGCAATGGCTGTCACCTCATGCTGCAGTTTGGTAACTAAGGTTATGCCCTTTTTTTTCATCACATCAGCCTGGGTTTGGTTCCTAAATCAAGCCCTTTCTGGTTTGGTATTCGTGTTACTTTTGAAATATCAGCAATGTGTCCTAGCTAAAATATGGTAATGAGATTTAAAAGAATTTTTTTTAAGGGAGCTTAATGGTTAAAAGTCAGCTTAATTAAAAGCTAACATCTAAGATGTGTTTGTGTGTGTTGTGTCTATATGTGTGTGTATCTGTATTTTAAAGGCCATCATGTTTTGTTTTGTTTTTTTTCTCTCTAGGACCTTGGTTTGTTTGTTTTTAGCAAGTTTTTTTTCTTCTCAGTAGACTGAATCTGTGTTTTCATTTGTTTCTGCTGTCTCTCCTTTTTCTTGCCACCCTCTGCTGCATGAGGAACCTAAAATAGTTTCTAACAGCCTGTCAGTTTCTAACAGGCATTCCTTAAAGAAAACAGAGAAGGTGCCAGACTGTCTTTTGGGGAGAAACCTCTGTTTTTCCTTATGGAATCCCAAGAGTGTAAACAGACAAGTTCATCTCAGGTCTTAAACTCCTTGCTTTTGTATTATGTTACCTGGTTCTTCTTCTTCTCCTCCTCCTTCTCCTTCTCCTTCTCTTCCTCCTTCTCCTCCTCCTTCTCCTCCTCCTTGTCCTTCTTCTTCTTCTTTCTTCTTCCTCTTCCTCTTCCTCTCCTTCTCCTTCTTTTCCTTCTCCTTCTTCTTCTCCTCCCCCTCCTTCTCCTTCTCCTCTCCTTTTTCTTCTTCTCCTCTCCTTCTTCTCCTTCTCCCTCTTCTCCCTCCTCTTCTTTTTCACTAAAATAGTTACTATAACAGAGGTTACGCTTGGGCATTTAAAGTAAGTAAGAGTATGGTTTAGACACTTAGGGAAATGTCTTTGTTAAAAAAAAAAAAAAAAAGGAGGATACACCGTAAAAGCATCATGTGGTCTTAGCCTCATAATAATTCTATTTTTGGAGACCCAGGATTCAGTGTGGGCTCAGTCCAGAGCTCAGAGATCCAGTTTAGAACTACCTATCTAAATAAAATTGGTCTTCTTATATAATCCTATGATAGATTTCTATAATTTTATGTTTGATTTTTTCATTTGTTTTTAATCTCCCTCGACTTTCATCAGACTGTTTCTCTCTGTACTTTTAGATGTAAATTTAACTATCTGATTTTTGACCTAAGAGTTCCTTTAATGTACAAATTTAGAGCTATCTAGCTGACAACTGCCTAGGGTAATAAAACAGGCTACCAAGAAATTGGAAGTCTAAAATAGAAGTAAAAAAAGGTCTTATGAACCTATAAGATCTACTTCTGTCTGCGTGTCTAATACATCTATGCATTTATATATCATACATGTTTCATTGCTAAAAATATATAAAAGAGGTGTAATTAATTGGCTTAAAGAAAAAAAGTTGCTTTCAATCAAATACCTTATCAGAAAAAAATAGAGACTTTAAGTCAAATGCTATTTCAAGTTCATGTAATTTAAGTAAATCTTTAATAAATAAGCTGATTTTAAAGGCATTCATGAACTAGAAATTAGAAATGGCTCCAGAATTGTCAACATACATTATTGTTTAAATTTATTGGTAAAATGATTTCATATTTATCTCTGCTAGATGTCCAAATTTGGCATGAGGGTTATAAAGCTATGAATGCAGCATGAAGGAAAATTATCTTTGCTTGTGCAAAATTTGATAAATAAGGCATTTAATATTGTTCAGTTAATGGAAACAGCTAAATTCTGAGTTACTGGCAAAAAGGAAGGAAGGGAGGGAGGAAGGGAGGGAGGGGGGAAGGAAGGAAGGAAGGAAGGAAGGAAGGAAGGAAGAAAATATTTATCTAACTGTAAGGTTCTTACTTTGGAAAATCTGAAATTCACAGACTATAAAAATGATTAACTGGGAAATAACATTAAATGATAACTATCACAGTTTTCATAAGTAATCTGGGTAAAAATTTAAAAATTAATTAGGTAAATGTAATGAATAAATCCTTGTAAATAAACTTGTCATATAAGTTAGAATCTAAAGTTATATTAAGTTAAATAATGGATACTCATTAAATGTCTGAGTCATTTCCAATTTTTAAAAGAAATATATTATAGGAAAATATTGTTTCTAAAAAAGAAGTGTGCTCTTATTTAAAGGAAAATAATTTTTGTCTAATTCAAAGGTTATTTAAAAGTTATTTATGAAATAAGGTAAAAGTAACCAGTAAATAAAAGCAAGGTAAAGGAAGTTATAAATATAACAGGTATTTTCAGCAAGAAAGGTTAAAAGGAAAATAATTTTATATGAGAAATAATTTTATATGGTAGATTTCTGCCTTAGAATAAAATGACTGTTTGTTTAAGAAAAAAGGATGTTCAGGACAAACCAGAAAGTCCAAGCATGTCATGAATGGTCTGTGTAAGTCATAACAAGAGGATTTATGGAAAAAACTTGTATATGATCAAGTTGTTTATAATTAAGGGAAATTATTTATAATGGTCTTTCTAGAGATTGGGGTTTGATTTTTTTTAAAAAAAGACATTTATATACTAAAGAATTGGGTAGAACAATGAAATTTTCTCAAGGTGTTGATTTACAATTAATAAAATTACAAGAGATTTTAATGTTTTTAATCCAAAGTTTAAACTTTTATTGCATCTCTCTGTTTTCAGCTTTCTCCACCCATTTGAAAGGCCTAAAATGATAACTCTATCCTTCAACTCATTTTCAGCTCCCATAAGTTTTATTTCTTTGGGTTCCAACTGTTTTTTGTGGCCTGATGCTAAAAATGTTTTATCTTAAAGGAAATGCTTCCTTCCAACCTAATATTCTGTGCTCTTGGCTTTAAATTGTTTTACAAATCAGAAAATTTTCACTATGAATTAGGAAACACTTCCTATATCTAACTAATTCAAGTACCCTTTTCATTAGTTTTGACTTGAAGGTTATCTAAATGGACTCCCCAGAGGAACCAACATTTGCACGCACTGTAGAGGGTCTTTTCTTTTACCTTTGGGTAACTGGCCTAACGAACAGATTTTATGTTTATCAAAATAATTTTGATATCATTAAGTTTTGCTTTTCTTAGAAAAATTGAAAAATATTTTTAAGGCTATTACGTTTATATCTGTCTAGCTTTCTATATGTGCTTTAAAAGTCCTTATGCCATTAAGTTACAGGGTTTTGACTCCTTGGTCTAAAAAGGACACCAAGTCCTGCTAAATCTTAAACAATGACAGCAGTTAAAGCCTCATCTTCAGACCCAGTAGAAGATACCAATCAAAATAAATTGCATTCATGAGACACAGGGCCAGAAATTAAAGCTATTCAACTCCTCAAGGCCGGGGACTATCACAGAAGAGGCAGGCATGTGAGTAAGGGCTGATTTTGAGAGATAAAGTCAGGTGAGTTTCTCTATAAATTAACCATTAATGTCAAAGGCACACTAATGCAAGACCAGCATATCGGCCTCTGTGTCAGATTGACAAGGTTTTCTTGGTGCATTAGCTTGCTCCTTAATAAAAGGTATAAAGGTTATAAAAGGCTTGTGGAAATTATTTCTTATGGTCAAGATGGTTAAAATTTTATAGGTTGTTTACAAAATTTTGAAAAACAAATTTAATTGGCCTTATGCTGTCTTTATTCGGTCTTAATGTTTGGGAAATTAAGTTTCCTCTCTCAAAGAATAAAGGTTTTAACTTTTTCTTTATAATCTTTATCACTTTGGCTAAATGAATGACTTATTTTACAATGACCTGTGATCCTATTTTGTGATATCAAGTGTTTTAAATTTTTTATATTTGACAAACTCCAAAATCAAATTCTAACTTTGGTCCATATTAATTTTTTTATGTTAGTCCCCTGAAGTCAAAAGAGATGCATTTGGCTTATTTGATATAATAAAATCATACAAGAAGTATTGTCAAATATGAAAGTGTTTAACTTTCTTTGGTTTATATTTATATAAATGTGTTATTAGTATGTATTCCAGAATTGTGTGAAATTCCTGTGATTCTGTTATGTCTTAGCATATATTATTGGTAGTAATTATGGTTATTATGTAAAGTCACTGTGTGCCACAGAAGTAACCAAATTTCTTTGTCAGTTGTGTCTTTAACTATGATTGTTCTAAGACTTTTGTCATCCACAGTTGTTTTACTTTTATTCTTTTTTAAAGTTGGTTTTATAATCAGCTATAGGACTTTGACAGGTGCTTTTGAATGCAGGTTTCTGATAACTTTGGGTATTGCAAGACTAGAATAGAGGAAAACCTCCCAAGACTCTCATGGAGAGCTGAAATGTTCATGAATATCAAGCCAAACAGGAGTTAACTGCAGGACTGAACTAATAGAAGACTGAAGTAATTCTTTTATGATTTTTTGCTTAAAACATTGCTGATTCTTTGTTTTTCAGAGCCAAGAAAACTATTGAGCTTTTTATAGCTTTTAACAATTAAGTATACTCCTATAAACAAAATTTGGAGCATACTTCTAATTTCTCCAAAATTTGGAAACTAGCTGAATTCTTAACATATGACAATAGACTTATTTGCATAAGTTCAATAACAATGTTTTCTTTTGTAACAGGACACAATTGGAATCACTGGTTTTGACTGGAATGGCATGCTTTCAGATATAAACAGTCTTCTTTAAGAAATCAAAGTTGACTTATAGGGCCAATAAAAGCCCCTTGGGAAAGCTGGCCTCATACCCTGTCTACACAGTCCCTGTGGTAAGTAAAGAATGTCACTTTCAGACAGGCCCAGGAGCCCCAGGTTTTCTTGGGACCTCAAGGTGAGGAATTCACCCAATTAATATAATTTTTGCAGGCACTTAAGGCATTAAAGTTGAATCTGAGATTCCTTATGGAATTAAGTTCCAGCAAAGCCAATTAAAAAAAAAAAATAGGAGCCTATATGGTAAACAATTATCCATGCTGACTTTATGCAAATACTCCAGCCAAGTATAATAAGACTAAAACTTATTTTGTAAATGAATTTGTCTTTGATGTATCTTTAGTGAAAATGGGACTGGAGAAAGAATTACATTTCAAAATAAACTGTAGTACATCTGTTATTAGATTCTAGTCTTGCCTAATGTTTTTCCCTTTTTATTATTTTCTACATTTTGGACTGAATTCTAAAATTTTTAATGGCTACAAGTCTCCAAAATAATGTTTTCAATTTTT